GACCCCTTATATAAATCGTGACCAGCCCGCGGTTCATTCTTTTAGCGTGTGGATGCTTATTGGAGCCATGTTGTTGTTAATGTCGAAACACGATGTGAGGATTAGCTGAACTTTTTAGCCGTAATGTAAGTTATTTATTGAGTTTTTCCTCATCGTTCAGATGTGAACGAAGGTAGCAGCGCGCGCAGCGGCTCTGCTAGCACGTGGCGGGCTCGCGCCGTGCTAATACAAGATGGCGAAGCAGGAGCCGATTCACTCCTGCTACCAATGAAATCATAAAATAGTCGGCGGCTCTGAAGACTGTTTTCATCCTGCAGTAGTTGAACAAATGTGGTGAGTTTTACACTGAATGCATATTTAAATGGTAGTTCGCCTTTCATGCAAGATTTGTAAATGAATTACGATTTATGAATAATTCAATAAACCTTTGTGTGTTTACCATTACACAAGTGTTTACATATCTCTGGCATAAACGTTCCTTTCAGCTCTTTTGTTCAACTCTTAAGATTTCATTTTCCATAGTCTTCATGAGATCAGAAAATAGAAATTATTTAAAAGTACAACATATTTTAAAAGGTAATTTCTAACTTCCTCCTCGTTCAAATAAATGGAGGACTCACTAAAGTCTTAAAGATGGCGTCTTTAGACTAAAGTAAATGGAGGTTAATTGGCTGGACTGACATTAACGTCTAGTTGGTTTGGTCTGAAAATTGCTCCAATCTCTAAACGCCACTGCATAAACCTTTACGCCCCTATCCATTACATCTTTGTGTAAATGGCACAAACTGCTGCCATGTGTGGCCTTCAGGGGTCAGCCTGGCTGGACTTCCTGCTGAAATGAGGAGCATGTAACTTATATATTTAAACATTATTATAAGGTTAAAATTTGGCATGTCTGAAGAATGGAGCTCTTTGCAGATGGCAGCAAATCAACTTTAGGATTTGGTCCATGTGTCCATCAAAGGTACAGTTAAATGAACCAAGGTGGATTATTTTCGCAAAAGCCTACTGGTAATAAAATTCTTGATCGTGATCCTTGGATGCT